TCGAAGAAAAATGTAATCATGCACTTCCAATGCAGGACATGGTGGAAGCAGCATTACTCGGTGGGTGGTTTAGCAATGTAGTTACAATAATTGTTGGATTATCAGCTTTTGGAATCTGGTTTATTTTTGAGACACAGACAACAAACAGTCAATTCATACAAACCTGTTGATGCGGATGTCGCAGAGCAGGAGCTTCAACCGATATAATACTAATAATGCCTTTACTTGTTTATTTTTCGAGTGCCATCTTTTGGTACACGAGGGATTTGCTTCATATATTACAAGCTTACCAGGCCTAATTTTGTTTGTCAATTGATTGAACTCTCTTTCGCAATTTTTTGTATTTATTAAACTCCGGATAGAGAGAAATACGAAACGAACTTCTATGTGATAGAATATTCACATATGAATGTGAGCTTCTTCAATGCTCAAGAAGTCCCATAGTCCTTCACTGGTGCCAACCTGTGCTCTCTACTTTCATTGTTTTGGGCAATAAGATTTCCGTTCAGTGATAAATACAAAAGGAGTATGAAATGATCACTTTCTAGTAGATTCTGATTTAAAACCACATGAGTGAGTTACCAAAAAGACACCTGACAAGTGCAGTGTAATTCTCACTACATCAGATGATACGAATGGAGCTTGTAAATCAATTGAAAACTATTATTGAACAGATGTACGTACAATCATTCACCTTCAATCTGTCAGTTGCAACATGCAGTGTCAGCAAACAAGAATGGTACCGCTGTATTGACGAATGGATAGTAGCAGGGAAAAAATTTAAATTATTTTTAGATATAATCACAGTTGGTTAATTAATTATTTTTAAATAACTTAATTAATACAGATACACACACATATATGTCGACTTCTGTCTAATCATTATACATTAAATAATTAGTATTTAAATATTCGTCAAAAAAAAAAAGGGCGGTAGTACACCAAGTGATTGATTATATTTAAAAATATAAAAATATTTTATAAGTAATATTTAATTTATAGATATTAATTTATAGAACAATCAAAATATCCATTTATGAATAAAAATAAAGTATCCTATGTGACTTATTCCACAATGTCGTCGTTTAATGTGGTTGGTTTACATGATGGCTTAGTTTGAAAAAGGGGGAATAAAAAGGCGTACTCTCTGTTCTTCCTCCTCGGGCCACAATTATTATTATTTTCTGATGCTTTTGTTATAATTTAGTGGGACTATATATTTTCGTTTTTATTTATATGTATATTACATAAGAAATTTTAAATAATAAATTAATTTTTAATTAACAAATAGTTTTGCTTTTTTTTTTTTTCTATTTTTGACGTCTATGTTTTCTAGTCAAATATTCTAATAAGATTTTTTGTTCACATATTTTATTGTTAAATATTAATTATTTATGTGAGTTCTGTAAGTAAATAGAATATTTCATGTTTATTAATTTGGCTGGTACTTATGGAAAAACTGAAATTTATTCTCTTACAATTAAAATTTCATTCCCACGTGATCAAATCAGTACTAAATTTGAGTGTCAATATAAAGTATTGAATATATGAATTAATTAAAGGAAAAAAAAAATACTTTTAAATGGTATGGTGATAAGTTGCTTTTTCAAATTTGGTAAAATGGTATTTAAGTTGAGACCAACAGAAATACCAAAAGTTGATCAATTATATTTGTCTTTAAAATTTGTTATGTATAGAAAAAAATATATAAAATTAGAGAGGGATACAATTATAAATTTATCAATTCATATATTAATGTTCGAAATAAGTAAGTTTGTATACCCATTTAAACAAATAAAATTAGATAGATAATAATTCTCAAAATGAAAAAAGAAAAATAGTAGTTGGGTGTTTTTTTTTTTTATAATTTAAGTAGTTTTTTAATTAATTTTTGATATATTATATACTACTATCAATGTAATTATCATATTTTAAACATAATATGATAAAAAAAAATATATAGTTAAAACTCGTAATATTTATATATCTTCTTTAAAATAAGAAAAAAATTTATAACGCAAAAAATATTATAAAAAATAAGATTTTTTATGGAACAAATTATCATATCCTAACTTTAAACTTAGAGATATGACTAAAAAATAAAACCCATAAAATAGTTATTAAAAATCTCAAAGTTGTTATTTGAAAACAAAATAAAAAATTTCATAGATGAGAGATTTTATTGATTATGATTTGATATAAAAATAAACATAATTTTTTTGTATAAACAGTGAAAATATTTCTGAATATTTTAAAATTAATTTATTTTTTTTGTCACCAACTTTATTGAGAAATATTTTTTCACCAACTTAAAAAGTGACAGCTTCTCTAATATTTGCTTGTATTAAATTTCATAATTAGTCTTTGTTGAATGATTTGATTATTATTATTATTTTTTCCTAAACTATTTTATTTTTAGCACCGGTCATTTTGTTGGTTTTTAATTGTCTTGTTGAGCTTCTTCTTCTTCTTCCTCCACCTCTCAGCATAAAAAGAATAAATTAATTGAATCTGATTTTTCATAAAACCTTGTTCATGTTCTTATAAATCTCAAGTGATCGAGAGAAGGCAATTCGTTTATT